ATTCACCATCAAGTGTGTTCAAACTTGAAAACGTCTGCTGATTCGACGAAGTTATCTTATGATAAGAGATCTACTGAAGTTAGCTTTGTACCAGGAGACAAGGTGTGGTTGTATAATCCCAGGAAGACTAAAGGGAAGTCTCCTAAGTTGTCTTCTCCATGGAAAGGCCCATATGACATAGTGGATCGTCTCTCAGACGTGACTTTCCGGATAAAATGTGGTCGGCGTTATCACGGTCCAGGACATTTCAGTTGGGACGAAGTGAACAACAGAACAAATGATGCTACTGAAGACGTGTCACCTGAAAAAGCCACTGTTGAAGAAGAAACTATTCAGTTTTGAGAAGAGGAACGTTGAAGCTCTTGATGAAGTCACTACCACTGATGTGACTGTTACCGACGATAGGACATTTCCTGATGAAGCAGATGAACCCCACGTGAAGCAGAAGCCAACGAGAGGGAGACCAGTACGGAAGAAGATACGTCCCGTAAAATTAAGAGACTTTGTTGAATTGTAATTTTGTGTTTGTAATTTTGTATATTTAATTAAGTTATTGTTAATTGTCATTGGTTTAATGTAAGTGGCTATTGTTCGGGACGAACAATACTAAGGAAGGGGCAGTGTTACACAACGCAGGTCACGTGACGCTTGTATCACGCCACTTCCTTCTCGAACCTTCATGAAATGTCGGGAGACTACTAGATTGGGGTAGTCTTGTATATATAAAAACCGGCCAAGAAGCAACGGGAGGTAATGAGTAAGAATATTGTTGAGCACGTGAGAAGGTCGTTGTAAATTATAGCGTTTGTTATAGAGCGACTGTTGAAATTAAGTGTATCGCAAAGTTGTATTCAGAAAGAATAAACCAGTTTTATTTAAGAAAGGACTTGTATCGGTAAAATTCTTCGGGAAGAATTTTTACAGAAAATTAACTAACGAACGGAGATGTAACATAGGCATAATTTTAATATCTTATGATTTGTTTGCTTGTTTGTAATTAAGCACAAAGCTACACAATGGGCTATGTGTGCTCTGCTCACTACGGGTAAGTCTGCAGACATATCGCTGTGCCACTGGGAGGCATGTCTTATGAGATGTATAATTATGATTATTCTTCGCCGGTTTGTAAAAGGCGTTCACATCATAAACAAAAGTTTCTCTAAAAAAGAAATGGTGATAAAAAACAAGCTATTCTATAACTAAAAGTATTTCATGTCTCATAGAAACAGCACTTTTTAATAATTTTGTGACTGTTCACTAAGTTTGATAATTGAGTGAAACTAGTTAATTTGTTATTTTCGACTGTTATAAATATTACGGGTATTTTTTCTTTCGACAATAGTTCCAAAATAATTTAACATTATTCGATTTGTTTGCCTAAATTTTATCATTATTATTTTTGCTTTATATTTTAGAGCGGACAATCACAATTTATCTTGTATTGCGCCTTGCTTCTTTTCCCGCCAAGTTTAGGCAATTTTGTGTTTGGGAAACTGAGGAGTGACCGAAACTAGTACAATGGCAGTAAGTTATTTTAAGTTTTTAATAAATACTTTTAAGGGTGTACCAATAAATTATAACACTTAAGTTAGGAGTTAGTTTTAAGTTTAGTATTTTATGCATATATATATGTACAATTAAATCACCTTGTTTTTCCTTGTACTTGTAGAAACAACTCAAAATTGTCATTACCCTACCACTAGCAACAACACATTGCATAGCTGGCTTGAGAGAGTAATCAACTAGACACCAAGATCCTGTTCTTCCATAATACTGTTACCATTATTTTCACCAAAATTACATTTATTTTGTGCATTATGATAACCTACATTCATTATCTTGCATTTATTGTAATTAAAAGCCATTTATTTGCTCAACTCACCAAATAGCCTAAATCATTGTATAAAGATTCTTTCTCACAGCCAGTAACACCCAAGATTTTAACATCTTTATCTACATCATTGAATGATTAATGTAATCTAAACGAGAAAAGGTCCTGATACTGAGCAGTGAGGCGTCCCACTCGTGATATTAATCGAGTGTGACAGAACTCCATTTATAACAACTCTGCTTTTTATTAAACAGCCATTTCTTTCCCTATCAAATGAACCAACCTATCCACCACACATGCAGAGATAATTTCTAATAAGCCTTTGATATTGTATTTTGTCAAATGCTTTCTGAAAATCCAGCTATATTAAATCCACACCTTACTCTCATGTACATAAAAAGTAATCTTCTCAAAGAGTGACATAAGATTAAGGACACTTCTTGTCATTTAATTATTCCAGTTTACTACACTAATGAGAGGTTTTCTGTGATATGAAAGAAAACAAACCCCTGACCAGCATACATTACCCTGTTAATTAACAGCTACATAGCAATCAAGAAATAATTAAAACATATAATTTGAATAATATAACCTGAACTGTACAACCAGATGATAGTTTGCTTAATTATATTTTTCCATTTTGTATAACATTGGTGTCAAAAACACCAATTTGTGTAGCAAGATACATAGTGAATTATGATTTACGATATTCAACATACAAAACCGCTTGTAATATACACCCTTATATTATGATTGTTTAAACTTACAACAAACAGTTAGACCTGACCATACATATAGTTTATTTGTACACATTACACTTTTTGCTGACACGTGATTATTCCAGGTTCCTCTATACATTCAATGTACATCAGCTTTAAGCTCAGGATATTCTGTTACATTTTGCTATGGACTTGCTGCTTTTTTTAACTTTTTTGTTTTTGGTTGCTTGTTAGCAATGGCTCTTCAAACATATATACACCTTCGTATGATTTTTTTTCTGGTGATGGATTTTTTTAAAACTTTGCACTATAGTTTCCAGTGGAGCTCAGAATTAGTGGAATTTTTTTATGGGGCTCATCAATCGAATATATTTAATTGACCAACTTTTTTCACATGAGATTAATCTTCCTATTTTAATCTTCTTTTGACACTGCTTGCTACTTGGCAAGAAAACTTGTGATGATACTGGATAACCTGTTTGCAGATATTAAAGTTTTATAAGAAATAATAAAACATGGTAATACCAAAAAAAAAAAAATAATTACCAGCTTTATCGAATTGTTTTTAATTCCAACATCAATATTAAAAACTTAAAAAATAATTTAAACCTTTGTAAGTATAAAAAACATCACAAACGTTTGTGTAGTTGTTGTTTCTATGGGTGAAGTGTAGAAATAACCCACTTGTTTTCTATATTCATTATGGATCACCCAATCCTTGAAAGAAATAAAATAGTAAAAAAACAGCTAATAGGTAAATGATCATGCATAGACAGCTCTATTACACAGTCCCCACCAAGGTCAGATCCTGTAAATCAACCCCTCGGGGTGGATTTCTGTACATGGTGAAGGGACCTCCCAGGGAAGGTTCTGTATTTTCAGTTACCTCCTCTGGGATCTGAGTATCTACCCACATGTTTGCTGTATGTGTGGCGACCCATGAAGGGGAGGATCCTCGTGGTTGAGTGGTGTCTGGGGCACTGCAACACACCACTTTGGCCTTGAATTCCTGTAGGTGGTTGGCCCCTTAGGGTCAGTTGGCTGGTCCTGTCGGGCTAGGGTCAACTGAGTACCAGTGTTGGGCATTCTCAGCAGGTGTTTTGGACATCATTTCTGATGCTGGTGTTTGGGTATAGTGCTTCCAAAACCCTGGCATTGCTGCAGTGTCCTTGTTTGACATTGTAGTGCATCCCCTTGTAGGACTCCATGGTAGGTGGGGTCAGTAGGCACTGAATCTTTCTCTCTATATTATGGATTCCCCAAACCTTAATAAAAGCAAAATAGTAAAAACTGCTCATCAGTAAGCGACCATGTCTTGAAGACTAAAAAGCAGTCTCCACCCAATTGTGCACCTTTACCTCATTTTCTTATCATGCATTCTTTGTCGGAAAAACCTTTAGGGCAAATGTCTCCCTTTTTTTATTCAGAAGGGATTAGAAGGGCTTGCTGGCTCTCCAAAGTCAATCGAGAAGCTACTTACTGGGGACATCTTGGTGGAAACATCAACACCAAAACACAGTGAACTCCTCTTGAATTCAAAGGCCATTGGGGATATATCCATTGAGGTTACTCCCCATGCAACTTTGAATTCCTCGTGTGAAGTTATATGTCGAGAGGGATTTGAAGAACATCCCCGAGGCTGAGATCCTTGCTGGTTTCTCCAGCCAAGGAGTTTCTGCGGTGCATTGTATCTCCACTCGTAAAGATGGACTTATGCTGCCTACCAATGTTTTCATTGCCGCATTGACCTGCGGTATACATTTGAACTATGACCCATCTCAGAAATGATTAGTTTGTGGAGGTTCAAGGTCAAAGATCAAGGTCACAAAAATCCAAAAAATTCCTATCTGTTAACATGGGGACTGCTTTTTCACACAATTTCTGTCTTATAACTCAGTCAAAAATTGTTGGATTTTGATAAAACTTGGTGGACATATGTTGAATATTATTCTTTGTTGTCTTACCAAAAATGATCATGTTTGTTGGCACATTTTGTATTTTTTTTAGGGCTAGATATGATCAGTGCTGCATAGTGAAGATATGCACTCTACTATGTGTCCCTCTAGTTTCTTATTTTTGATATCCAAAGTAAATGCAAGTATTATGACTGTATAACTGACGATTCAAAATGAAACAGTAGATGAAAGTCCAGATTCAATACAAGTTTGACTGAATTGCAATTGGTCAAAGGTTCAGACAAGTGCGTAAGTTAAAGATACTGGTCAAGCAACACATCTGAAAGCAAGAATTGATCAATCTATTCCACCAATATTGATAGGTGAGGTTGATGTCAGTGTATCATTCAGCTGTTGGAGCTGGTAGTTCAATTCATTTGTAGAGACTCATCTATTTCATCATAGTTTGCAAGATAAGTCTTTTTAACTTCTCACTTGTCATGTTAGTCAGCATGACTTCAGGCAAAATCATTATTTCTCACTGATTCATCAGCTTCACTTTTGGACTCCTGGTCAAACCAAAGTACCAAAGGCTTATCTTTCACACATGAATGCATCATGTATTCTCACTGCAGTAATATACTTTATATCCTTTTCCCAGCTTTCTTGCACATCTTGACTTTCCACTTTGTCTTCTGTATACAAAGAGCATAAATTTTCTTTCTCATCATTACATCAAATATTTCAATGGTACTTCTTGTGCATTTCACACAGCAGTTGAGGATGCTATTGCACATCACTTACAGAAACTTTCTAGTCAAGAATATTTACACTTGGCTGGCTGGCCCTGACAGCAACCCTCATCTTTCATTGGGATTTGGGACCAGTATGATCATCCAGACTGGAATAAGTTTAGCCAAGGCTCATATGGCAGAGTTATTTAGGATTAGGGTTTTTTCATTGAATAAGTTATTTGATCTTGCAAATTCTAGTATATTAATTTAATGCAGTAGATATTTGAGTAATATGTTTGGAAGATTTATTGATTGTTCAGCATCAAATAGAAAAGATGAGTTTTTGCAGTTTGTTGTTGTTATGAAACTGTGAGCTTTCAGCCTACGGTGTGCTTCTGGGATCAAAAAATGAATTATGCATTGATAGTGTGGTTGAGTATGGGTGATACATGAGTGTCATTGTGCCTAATCCAAAGACCATGCCTTCTGTTCATTGTATCATTTTTTCCTCAAGGTATATTTTTATTTTTGTTAGCTTCTGGATGCTGCTTTTCTGATTTATTTGCTATCCTTGTTCAGCAGACTCTATCATTCCACCTGTATTTTGCTCTATCCGGACAGATCCTTTCTACCAAACACTCTCACTGCTGGAGAAAGGAATACATCCTTTTCTCCTATTCATTTATCAGACGTGTCATCTTTACAATCAGTCAGACCCAGATAGTTTGTTGTGTCCATTCAGAGCAATTCGATGTTCTGTGGCTTATACAGGACCAGATTGGCATCTATCAATGTCATTGGCTGCTTGTCTGAACTGCAATGAAATGCTTGAAATTAAGAAATAGAAATATTTACATATCTTTGATCTCTTTGTTGAATAATCTTAAATATCTTCTTTGGGTTATATGCATAATTTCACAACTTTACCTTTTCATTTATAGTTTATTTTTAATGTTTTACCTTCCTTTTGTGTTCTTTATCTTTGATTATTTATGTTGACTCGCATCAACAGGTGTCTGTGGGTGACAAACGTGATATGATGTTAATCAGCAGAGATGATTTTAGCCTCTGGTAAAATGTTTACTCTCACTAAATTTATGAAAGCTGGTTGAGCAAAGCATAGAATAAAGTTTAAAAAATCATTAATCCTTTCAAATGTGAATTTTAAGATGCTAATAATACATAATTAACTAAAATATAAAAGCAAAACTGAAATGCAAGTTAACAGTATGAAACCAATATATATATAAGGCAAGAAAAAATAGTCAAGTGCTAAGGGCACCACCTTTAACAATAGACTTAAGTTTTATTTTGCCTCGTTTGTAAACGGATATACACGTCTACATTTTCTGTTAATTTAGCAGCATTCCAAGGATAAATTTGCTCTTTCTATTGGTTATAAGCATGCCATTCAATTTAAAACTGTCACTTAGCAACACAGTTTCTACTCTGCAAGTGGACATGGCTTATCTTGAATAGAGGAAATTTTACAGTCTCTTCCTTTGGGGGACAATTCTTGGAATGTACTCAAATTACTGGTAAACAATCTCTTATACTGTATTTTGAATGTCTTGGAGAGACTGTCTGCGTTACATATACAGTTTCTTTCATACAAGCTTTTAAGGTTGAGAATCATAACTGTGAGCAAGTAATGATATATCAAAACTCAAGTTTTAAATATTATTTTAGAGGTTTATTTTGAAATTAAGGAATAAAAATTTAGCTGATATAAAAACCTTGAATTATAACGTACTTCATAGTAATAATTTCATTAAAATACATTGACAGCAAAGTAGTTTGAGTAAATTTGGGAATGTAACACAGTTATATTTGCTGAAAGGGTTTTAAAAATGGTATTGTTATAGGGTTAAATGAAAAATACGATTTTTTAGGATGAAGTAGGATCAGAAAGTGAAAGAAGCAGTCAAAGATCTTCACGGCCAGATCCCATCACTTCTAGTCCAGGAAGGGAATTACCAGCCTTTGAAGATGAATCAGAATTGGTTGGAGAAGTTGATGAGGCCAATGTGCAAGAGGAGGAGGAAGATGGAGAAGAGCTGTTTGGTGACAACTTGGAAGAGTATGTTAAATTATTTGATCAGTTGTAGTTATTTCATTTACGAGTATGCTCAAAACAAACCTGCTGAATATTATATGTATTATACTGTTTCACACTGTTTAATATTGATGTGTATAAGGTATTGCACTTAACTTAAATGTACAATAGTGAAGACAGCAATATCTTGTGTTCCATTACATCAGGCATTTTAAACAAAAAGTGACATCTTTCTATCTGCCAGTTAAACTGTATCTAGCTTGTGAAAGTTATTCTACTACTTTTAATTTCTTCTTCTCCACACCCTTTTTTCAATTCATGTAAAATTTTCTGTATGATTACTTACCTTTTAGTATTTATACAGTGTTCTATTATTCCTTTGTCATGGAAATAATACAACTTTCTTAATTTTCATCACAGATGCCTTGGTAAAATATTTTTGCATCTAAGTGATTTAAATAGGAAGGCCACAAGCAATGTGTGTGTGTGTGTGCATGTATATATATATATATATATATTTAAACAGGAAGGCCACAAGCAGTGTGTGTGTGTGTGCATGTATATGTATGTGTATATATATATATATATATATTTAAACAGGAAGGCCACAAGCAGTGTGTGTGTGTGTGCATGTATATGTATGTGTATATATATATATATATATATTTAAAC